TGCTGGACAGCTGGATGTCCCACCTGGATCTAATTACCACACAATGAGTCTTTTTAACTATTTATCTTGTAAGTGTAATTTATCCATTGTTTACTAAATAAATTGTCAATACTGCACTTAGAGGCGCCTTCCTCTCTTTTTCTTGTTACTACCCTTAAGGATGTTTGCCAAACATGGACTGTATGGACCCTGTGCTACCTCTTGTGGATTAATTGCCAATCCTGGGCTCTGCCTCTAATGGACGCTCAGGACTCTCTGCTGTTATTCTGGTATGATTACCTTATGGGCAGGAAAGCAGCTTTGTACAGGAATTCACGTGAGAAGTCGCTTTACAAGAACTGTTCCTGTAGGTTGCCTTTCTTCGATCATGTTACCATTAACTGTTTAATGCCTGGTCTGAATGTTCTCTTTGAAGTGGCGTATTGCATGGTGGATCCAGAGAACAGGGCTCGCTACATGGAGTCTGTAGGTTACAATGGATACAGTACATTTTAATCCAGCATGTAGTTTGCTGTCCAGCGTAGACCATTGCTGGGGACAACCATACATGTATCGTAGCTTAAAGCGCAGTTCCAATCAAAAGCGGAAGATCCGATTATTTGCCTCCTACCCCCCTCTCCCACTGCCATATTTCGCATCTTTCGTAGGAGAGGGGGGCGTGGGTACCTGGGTTTGACAGGTACCCGCTCCCACTTCCGGCTCGGATCAGGAAGGAATTTTTTCCCCTGCAGGAGCAAATTGGATCGTGCTTTGCTGGGTTTTTTTGCCTTCCTCTGGATCAATAGTGGGTGTACGAATATAACTGTTTTTTTCTTTTTAATGGTTGAACTGGATGGACTTTTGTCTTTTTTCAGCCATACAAACTATGTAGCTATGTAAGTTCGCCGCGGAGAAGTGAGCCGGAAGTTCGGCCCCCTCCTTGCTCCCGCAGTTTTCCTGGGAACTTTCACAGGTCCCAGAAGACTGCCGGACCACTCAGGAGGCGCAGTGTGACTCTTGCACGCGCAGTGGGCACCAGCCTGGTGCCCCTAGTTGAGATGCCGGTGCCGTGGAGGACAGAAGGAGAGACGGGACAGCGCAGGTGAGTACATCACTGGACCCCAGGATAGGTGAGTGTGAGTTTATTAAATGTCAGCAGATACAGTTTTTGTAGCTGCTGACTGTTAATAAACACAAAAATGGCTGGAACTCCGCTTTAAAGCAAACAACCAGCCAGGGAATGGGTGACTGGTGTAGGGTGGCAGTTACTCTGGTAGTGGAGGGGTGTTGCATTTGCCCCTTTCAGGAGTGGAGGGGTGTTGCATTTGCCATGTGGCTCCCTGCAGCGTGCGATCAGACCTGCGCACAGAGTGCCTAAGGACCTAACCTGGGAGTCATGACGTAGAGGGGCCCTGAAAGAGCGAGGATGTAGTTACAGAGTGAGGTTCATTTCCTGTATCCATTGGTAACTGTGGACACGTTACTGGGAGTGAGGTGACAGGTATTGCTGGGTTGGTGGACGCCGGTGCAGGCCCCGAAGCACCTGTTTCTAAATTCTGCGCACCTGGAAGTTGGTGGTCTCTAACTGCGGTGGTAGCATTGTAGCGCTTAGTGTAACAGTATTGGTCAGTTAGCCTCGGGTTGCTAGAGGGTTAACTGTGCTCATGGTGGCTCGCTTCTAAGTGTGGGGTTGGGCCTTAATGCTGATTTTCGCATGGAAAAAAACTCCTGCCTAGAACCTAGGCAATTAACGAGTATGTGTAGTTCTAGTGTCCCCCACATGGGCCTCTAAGCCCTGCCCACAAGACTCAGAGTTCTATGCACAGGGGTCGCAGGGGTCACAATTACAACCTTGCCACATGCTCCAGGCGGCCTGTGAGCCACCTGGATAGAGAGGTGGCGCCATGTAGAGGAACCTATCCCTCCATGCAGCCACTGAATGCCCGCTTCTCCTCCTCTTCCTCTTCCATTCAGCAGCTGCAGGAAGGAAATGGAGGGCATCAGGTGCTCTACCTGCCGCCTTTGCCACCTCCCTATCCCTATAATGCTGCTATGGGCCCCTGTTTGTATCCCTGGTAAATGCTTGATTTACCAACCCCTTCCTTGTCTTAATGACTAGAGTCAGTAATCAGTATAGATCAGCGGAGGCATAGTAAAATGTGTTTTACTATGCTTCAATTTATGAATGAACAGGGAGATCTGTACATAGCTATTGCTGCTCATCCATTCTGTGCTGCTGAGGCTGCCGAAATGGAAATTTGAGGTGTTCTGAATCTCCTTTTTCGCTCTTTTTCACCAACCCCCCCCCACCAATGGGGGTCCCAAAAAAATCTCTAAAATTAAAATTTAAAAATAAATAAAATGGTTAAGAAAATTAAATAAAATAACAAAAGTAAAAAAACTACTGACCCCAGTGGCAGAACAGAGGTCGCAAAGGTCACACCTGCAACCAGATCTTGGTGTTCCACCACTGTGGGGAGGTCCCAAGGGCCCACTGCTGGACCATAATATAGAGTCCCACAATGGGAGTAAAAGGCCCGTGATCAGTGGGAAGGGCCCTGGCTGGGGGCCATGAGAGCCCTTCATGGTTTCTTGCACCGAGGCCCTGAAGGTTCTGGTTACGCCTCTGCTCCGATGTAATGGGAACTCTGATGGAGACCCTAATGTAAGGGGAACTCTTATATAAATTCGACTCTGATGGGAACTGTCATATAAGGGGGCACTCTGATGTAAAGACCGACTTTGATGTAACGGGGACACTGATGGAGACCCTGGTGTAAGGCAACCTTGAACCTCTGAGAGGTTCGTTTATTTGGAATTTCTTTGCTTTGCTGGAGTTCTTTCTCCATTCTTCTTCATATCATGCTGATTACAAAAAGGCTCCAACTAAATCTTATTCAGTCATTTAAATTTAATTAATTTATAAACTATTTGTAAAACGTACCATGTGTCCCTCGTACTGAACATTTTGGAGACCCCCTATTGTAGATCGTGAGACCATGCTCTAGTAATGTAGGCTAAACTAAAAAAACAGAACCTCTCTAATGCCCCAGAAGGTAAGTCCTGTGGCTGGTGACACTGTATGCTGGTTGGGATATAAGTCTCGTCAGGCTCAAATTAAACTACAAGAAAATGGCGCCCAGCGACACACAGAATCAGCAGACTGTAAAGCTAAAATAGTAAAAATAATGAGAATTGGCTTCAGCTTGGTTCTCCACCCACCCATGTGTATGGTTGGGCGCCATTTTTCCTGTAGTCTAACAATGTTCTAGTGGGTTGAGAGCCAGTGTAGACTGAGTGTCAGGGCCCTGTCCTCAGCAGAGGTGTTAGGTGACCTGTCACCTAAGCCAGTACCTTGCATGGCCGCAGAAGTTCACATTGGCTCAAATTTGGCTTCAAACGGCCTTTATAAGGAAGCCATGCCCTACTCTCATGTGGTGGTTGATCTCTGGCTTCCCAGTACCTTGTTCCTGTTTCCTGTTTCTTGTGCTATTGTGATCTGTGATTTTCCTGATACCGACTTGGCTTGCTCTTGGACCTGTCTGCTCTGCTTAACCCCTGATCTGACCTCGGCTTGGCTAACAGATATTCCCTCTTTGCTCCTCTGTGTATGACCTCGGCTATCCCATCTGACTATGTCTGCTCTGATTCTCACCTGGTAGCTGACCTTGATTTGAACCGGCTATCCAGTAATCCTCTATTCCCGGAAGGGCTTACATACTACGCACAGGCGCCTCCTGTCTGCAAACCTCATCTCAGTGCATCAGCTGTCCTCCTGGGTGGACCACCAACAAGCACTCCTACAGGTGACCTGTGCAACTTTGGGCCTGACTCCCGCTATCCCACTCTGAGGGGAGTCTGGAACTCAGCCGCAAGGGAAGCCCTCTCTCCATTGGCCTCTCACACCAGGTACGTGACACCGAGTTGGGCAGATTTTTAGCCAGGAGATTGTTTTAACGAACTTGAGTGATTGAAGGAACTTTCCTTACGAATAAAAGCGAGCAAAAGAGCCCCGAAACATACTTGACTACCCGGAGTTCATGAAATGCCATACATCTAAAGTGAGCCCCCACCACCAAAGTACTCTCTTCCTAGGTATTCGTTTCTAGCTGGTTCCACCAACTCCTTTGTAGCATCTAATTAGGCACTTTTTTGTTTTGTTTTTTACCACCGATAAATAAATCCAAGCATCCCATAATGAACTTTCCTGCTCCCCCAGCTGTATCTGCTACAAGTCAATCTACAAAAACTGTTACGTGGTCCAAAGGGAAAGTAAAGTGAATTCTTCCTAAAAGAACCCAGACAACCACAACAAAAAAAAACCCAAAAACACATTTTAAACATTCCTTACTTCATCCAAAAATGTAAAAGAGATTTAGACACAAAGTTTTGAGTACTTACTGAAGCATCTTGGATTAATCCTTCTCTAACTTTAATGATGAAGTTTTCTTTGGTCACCAGCTGGTTAGCAGATACTCTGGATTCATAGACTCTCTCCCTGGGGTCAGGCCTTTCCTCCATCCTTCTCACTCTGTATGTCGGAGGGGGTTCAGCTTCCTTCTCTCCAAACTCCTTTTCCAAAGTGGAGGCAAAGATTCGTACTGTATCCACGTTACTGTCCACCAGACGAATTTCTTTAAGGCTAGATCTGCCTTTAGGTTTGTTGTCCATGTGTTTTTTGATGGCTTTGATAATATTCTCTGCGCTTTGGTCTACAGGACAACCAAATATACCGGAGTTGATGGCTGGGATGGCGATGGAGGTATGGCAGTACTCCTCAGCCAGCTCCAAGCTGCTGGTTATGGCTTTCTGTAGAAGATCCTCCCGCTTTCTAGGTGATTCAGAGTACCATTTGGGCCCCACTGTATGTATAACCTGCTTACATGGCAGTCTACCAGAGTCCGTTATTACCGACTCTCCTGCGGACAATCGTCCTTTTGTCCTGACAATCTGATCATAATCCTCTTGTAGTTTTGGACCTGCAGCTTTCAGTAAAGCCAATGCCAGACCACCAACGTGCTTCAGATCCTCATTGGCTGCATTAACGATGACATCGGCTCTGTGACGGCACAGGTCATCTTTATGCACGGAGATGACCGTTCCATTTGGATGACTGACTTGGCATTGTGATCCTTCCACTTCCTCAGGTTCATCTTCTTCAATCTCTTCCTCCTCTTCCTTCTGCAAACGTATGAGGCATTTGTATCTATTCTTCGCCATAGTGACATAAATGTCTTCATTTGCCAAACAAAACTTCTTGGCTCCGAGTTTATCAATGTTCAGTGTGTCAGAGCAGAGGGAACGCAGGGCATCACTAATACGGGAGTGGGCTTCAGCTACGCAGGTCTTTGGGCCTCTCAAGCATATATTTTTATTACGGATTGCCACACTTAAGTTATCTTTCTTCAGATCATCCAAAACTTGTTTCTTCTCTTCTTTGAGGAACTGCATGACCAGCAGTGATTTGACTTTAATGAGCTTTTCCATGGGAGTGTTTTCCTCTAGAAATTTCGTGACTTTTTCGTAACATTGTTGAACATTTGAAGACAGGCCGGCGATGGCCACACTGTTCTCTTCTCCAGAATAGGATTCCAGTATCAGGACGGTGATTTTCTCTATATTGTACGACTCAAGCAGATGTGAATGAAGACTTCCCCACTCTGGACTCGTCAGGATACTCTTTTCTTCAACTGAAACGTCTCTACAAATGAGTTCTTGGTTCATCTGTTCCTCGGCACCTGTAAAGTCTTTCTTTGAGCAGGCCGTCAGTTGAACAGCGCCATCCTCAATTTCCAGCATTGCGTTGATGTTGTGACGTACAAAGAGCAGAGAGGACAGCTCCTCGTTATCGGTGGGACGTCAGGAACTGGACGAGGTGCGGGGGTTCATCTGGATGGATTTACTTTTCATTTCTTGTTTGATCTTGAATAGCTCACATTTGGCGGTGAGCACTTCTTCCATTAGTCCGGATAGTTGGATCGCCTTTCCTTGCGCGTCATAGTCAATCCTCAGCTCTGGAACTTGGTCAAGGATCTTCTTCTTCAGGCCGCTGTTACACATGATCTGATAGAGGGCTGGAGACATGGGAAAAGTCTCAGTCTTGGTTTGGCTCTTTCTTGCCACCTGTTTTAGAGGTTTCCTCTACCAGTTGTGTGAATGTGGGATCAATCCTGGAAACGTTCTTTACCATTCCCGCTAAGAAGACTTTACCTGAATCCAACTCGGGTTTGAGAAGAACTCCGTTATATGTGGAGCTGCTGGCATGTTCTTTAACAGCGTTCAAGACCGACTGATCCATTCTATATTCTTTGACTTTGTACTTTGATATGAGGCGTGAGAACTCTGTTTGGACATTGTCTTTCCATGTTGGTACCAGCTTCGCCAATGTCCCGGGATCAGTAGACTTGGCCTCAGGAAAGCACAATGTGATGACGGGGTTGGGGCAGAGTAGATCTGGCCATTTGATCTCACATGTATGAGTCCTCATTGCTTTTTCCATGCCTTCTTTGAACTGGTTGTTCATGAGGATGACTTCCAAAACGTTACGGACTTACGGGGAAGGTGAGCGGCTCTGGTGGTTGTATTTGAGGTCTTTCGTCTCCATAAAGCACCATCTCCAGTTCCGGATAATATGGATAGACAGATATTTCCTTCTTATTCAGCTGATGCTTCTTCCCCAGAACTTTCCTAGCAGCTGCAGAGAAACACAGAGGAAGAAGAGGAGTCATCAGAATCTCATCGCTGGAAAACCAGGAATACTTCTTAGGGTTACAATTGTACTAACAAACCTGAATGTTATCATGAATGGAGGAGTTTGAGGAATGTGGGTCTGTTTCTGTCTACCATTGTTAAATCTATTCACCAATATTCTATTCTATTCTATAATATATTCTATTCATATTCTATTCTATTCTATAATATATTCCTATTCTATTCTATAATATATTCTATTCATATTCTATTCTATTCTATAATATATTTCCTATTCTATTCTATAATATATTCTATTCATATTCTATTCTATTCTATAATATATTCTATTCATATTCTATTCTATTCATGCCACACGTCGATCTTGCATTCATTTTTTCCATAAATAATCTTTCTGTAGGTTGGTGGTATTTCCTTGTTTTTCCTCAGCAAGCCAAGATTTTCCCCAAACAAAAAAATGCAAAAACTCCCCCTCCTCCCAGTACAAATACCCCCTCCCAGCACAAATCTTGGCCCGCTAATCCCCTCTCCCAACTCCCCCCCCCATTTCTCCCTCCAGGAACAAATCCCCATCCCCCAAAAAATCCCCTCATAGCACAAATCCTCTTCCCCAATCCCTACTCCTAGAACAAATCCTCTCCTCCCCAATTCTCCCCTCCTAGCGCAAATCCCCACCCCCTTTCCCCAGATTACCCTTCCTAGTGCAGATTCTCCCCTCCACCACTTGAATCGCACCTTCTAGAACAAATCCCCCCCAATCCCTCCTCCTAGCACACATATTCTCCCCCAATCTCTTCTCCTAGCATAAATTACCCCCTTTTTGCAAAGATTACCCTTCCTAGCAAAATTCCTACCCCCATCCCTCCTCATAACACATATCCCCGCAGTCCCTCCTAGCACAAATCTTCTCCGCCAATCCCTCCTCCAATGGAATAGTGTCCCAGCATTGGTGTCAGTGGGGGGAATAGTGCCCCATCATTGGTATCAGTGGGAGTAATAGTGCCCCATCATTGGTGTCAGTGGGAGGAATAGTGTCCCATCATTGGAGTCAGTGGGAGGAATAGTGCCCCATCATTGGTGTCAGTGGGACGAAGTGCCCCATCATTGGTGTCAGTGGGAGGAATAGTCCCCCATCATTGGTGTCAGTGGGAGGAATAGTGCCCCATCATTGGTGTCAGTGGGAGGAATAGTGTCCCATAATTGGTGTCAATGGGAGGAATAGTGTCCCATCATTGGTGTCGGTGGGAGGAATAGTGCCCCATCATTGGTGTCAGTGGGAGGAATAGTGCCCCATCATTGGTGTCAGTGGGAGGAATAGTGCCCCATCATTGGTGTCAGTGGGAGGAATAGTGTCCCATCATTGGTATCAGTGGAAGGAATAATGCCCCGTCATTGGTGTCAGTGGGAGGAATAGTGCCCCATCATTGGTGTCAGTGGGAGGAATAGTGCCCCATCATTGGTGTCAGTGGAAGGAATATTGGCCCATCATTGGTGTCAGTGGGAGGAATAGTGCCCCATCATTGGTGTCAGTGGGGAGGAATAGTGCCCCATCATTGGTGTCAGTGGAAGGAATAGTGCCCCATCATTGGTATCAGTGGCAGGAATAGTGCCCCATCATTGGTGTCAGTGGGAGGAATAGTGCCCCATCATTGGTGTCAGTGGGAGGAATAGTTCCCCATCATTGGTGTCAGTGGGAGGAATAGTGCCCCATCATTGGTGTCAGTGGGAGGAATAGTGCCCCATCATTGGTGTCAGTGGGAGGAATAGTGTCCCATCATTGGTATCAGTGGAAGGAATAGTGCTCCATCATTGGTGTCAGTGGGAGGAATAGTGCCCCATCATTGGTATCAGTGGAAGGAATAGTGCTCCATCATTGGTGTCAGTGGGAGGAATAGTGCCCCATCATTGGTGTCAGTGGGAGGAATAGTGCCCATCATTGGTGTCAGTGGACGGAATAGTGCCCCATCATTGGTGTCAGTGGACGGAATAGTGTCCCATCACTGGTGTCAGTGGAAGGAATAGTATCATTGGTATCAGTGGGAGGAATAGTGGCCCATCATTGGTGTCAGTGGGAGGAATAGTGTCCCATCATTGATGTCAGTGGGAGGAATAGTGCCCCATCATTGGTGTCAGTGGGAGGAATAGTGCCCCATCATTGGTGTCAGTGGGAGGAATAGTGCCCCATCATTGGTGTCAGTGGGAGGAATAGTGCCCCATCATTGGTGTCAGTGGGAGGAATAGTGCCCCATCATTGGTGTCAGTGGGAGGAATAGTGCCCCATCATAGGTGTCAGTGGGGGGAATAGTGCCCCATCATTGGTGTCAGCGGAAGGAATAGTGCCCCATCATTGGTGTCAGTGGAGGAATAGGTCCCCATCATTGGTGTCAGTAGAAGGAATAGTGCCCCATCATTGGTGTCAGCGGGAGAAATAGTGTCCCATCATTGGTGTCAGCGGGAGGAATAGTCCCCCATCATTGGTGTCAGTGGAGGAATAGCGCCCCATCATTGGTGTCAGTGGCAGGAATAGTGCCCCATCATTGGTATCAGTGGGAGGAATAGCGCCCCGTCATTGGTGTTGGTGGGAGGAATAGCGCCCCGTCGGTGGGAGGAATAGCGCCCCGTCGGTGGGAGGAATAGCGCCCCGTCGGTGGGAGGAATAGCGCCTCGTCGTTGGTGTCGGTGGGAGGAATAGCGCCTCGTCGTTGGTGTCGGTGGGAGGAATAGTGCCCCATCGTTGGTGTCGGTGGGAGGAAGAGCGCCCCGTCGTTGGTGTCGGTGGGAGGAGCAGTGCCCCGTCGTTGGTGTCGGTGGGAGGAGCAGTGCCCCGTCGTTGGTGTCGGTGGGAGGGAATAGCGCCCCATCATTGGTGTTAGTGGGAGGAATAGTGCCCCATCATTGGTGTCAGTGGGAGGAATAGTGCCCCATCATTGGTGTCAGTGGGAGGAATAGCGCCCCGTCGTTGGTGTCGGTGGGAGGAATAGTGCCCATCATTGGTGTCAGTGGGAGGAATAGCGCCCCGTCTTTGGTGTCGGTGGGAGGAGCAGTGCCCCGTCGTTGGTGTCGGTGGGAGGAAGATCGCCCCGTCGTTGGTGTCGGTGGGAGGAGCAGTGCCCCATCGTTGGTGTC